AAACAAGCAACAGAATGGCCAGGAATCTTCATCCGCCACTGTGAGCTATAAAGGATTTCTATTTGGTATCCAACTCGAGCTACCGTTGGAAAACGGTAACCTAGGCAAAAAAAATTTCAGTTGCCCCAGTAACTTCCTTGTATCGAAAAGTCGATTGCATTAGTTTTAATTCTGAACGCAATCCGATAACCCTAAATGAAAATTCGTTGAAATTTGTCGATAGCTACTTCATTTGCACTTCATCGAATTATTAATTAAAACTCATCATGAAATTATGAAAAAAAAAAACTAATAGTAAATAAAAGATTTCGCACATATTTTAAGTATAGCAATAAATGAGACGCTCATAGATTATTGCCTCTGTATACCCGTTCATTTTTAAAGTTTTTGGTTTGGTTTATTTGATTATGGCAAAGCACACTAGGGCTATCTGCCTAAGGCGAGGGGTGCCTTCGCCGAGGACTTTCTAACAGAAACTGGCTCGTATACATGTTACACATGGGGTAGTAAACGCCTATGCAGCCAATTCGTTCTCCTAAAAATTGAACCCAGGTCGAAGTACCAGTGTTCAGCGATTTTATCGCTCGGGCTGGGAGTTCATCTTGAAAGAAATAGCAGATGTGAATAAAAATATTATTTGCGAATAAATGCACACCATTGAATTGAAAGTATAGAGCTTTCTTTTCTTTTCTTTTTTTTTTTTTTTTCTTAGAATTTAAACATGAGAAGTTATTATTTATGTCTCGTACGCTTACTTAGAATTGAGCGCTGATATACATGAAGCTTAAATCAGTGTGAATGAAAAATCGATTAACTGAATATAATTCGATTCTTATAAAATTGCACGATAAAAATGGTTATATCAAGCATGTGCAACACACAGAAAGCTGTCCGAATCTGGCCCGCGTTCTGATTTTGTACGGTCCTCGATGACTTCCTCCAAATATAACTGAATCTGGCCCGATAACTGTTTAATTTTAAACAACAAATACTCGTAATTTTAATGAATAATTTCATAAAAATTTTTATTTGCCCAATTTTTTACCCATTTTAAACTTTTATAAGAATAATTCCATAGGGATTGCACCTTAACCGCTATCGTCAGCCAGTGGTCGGTGGTCGTGGTTTCGTTGCTCGTCTGACTCTTCTCCTGTCCTCAGTTTGATCACGGTCATTGCTGCTATACGCAGTTGCCAGTTTCCACACTATCTCAGCCATTTAACTTTCATATGTTTTTAATTTGCGGTCAAACACTGATTAAGATGGCTTCATCAAACAAGAAGAAAAATGGACTCGTTGAGTCGTACAGTGCAAGAGAACTGGACTGACAATTATTTTTTGTAATACAGAAGCATTTCTCTTCTTTGTCTGATATGCTTGGAAAATGGTTTTGAAGGAATGAGAATTAAAAAGACATTACGGTACGGAACACGTTAATTGCAACAGTTTACAACACATGCTGTAACTGACAACATTTTTCGCATAAGCTTTATTGTTAGCAAAACAAAATTGTTCTCCATTTGATGTGGATGTCGAACTAACATCACTGTCTTTGGCACAAGAGAACCTTGCTCTGAATACAAAAATAAAGGATATTACACTAGCCTCTTATAAAAACAATTTCCCATGCGATTAGTTTACAAAGCTGACAGCTTTCGTCCAGAAAAAAATTACTTTGTTTGAAACACCTATAAATGCGAAGAAAATTTTTCAAGGATGAAGCTCATGAAATCCAAGACAGTAACGCGAACTGCTGATGCGTACGTAGAGAACACGTTGCTAGTCTCATCAGCCGCAACAGCCCAGAATATTGACCATCTTGTGTAACCTATGAAATCGCAATCATCCCATTAAAAAGTTCTTTTCTTTTGTTTAAGAATATTACCTATTTTGTATTTTATATTTTTATTTGTTTCATGATGAGGTTTATATGAAATAATGGAGAGATTAAATTAATTAAGATGTGTTCATTCTTTTTATTATATTGTTGCGTGCGTACGGGTTCGTAATAGACTGAATGCGCAAGTCCGTTAATAGGTTAATAAAAATTTATTTTTATCAAAAGAAATATTTCAGATCTCTGGAATTTTCCACAGAAATATTCGTACAAGTGTTCACAGTATCACACAGTATAATCAGTAGTTACACTTCAAACTATTAAGAACGTCAAACAGAACGCAATGCAAATCCCAGCTAAAGAGAAAGCTAACTTGGATTTTGCTTTAGTTCTCGCGGCTGGAACTCGCAGCAACAATAATTAAGCAATTGAACTCGGATGCTTTCTCTCTTGTAAAGGATAACAAAAGCAAATAATTTTAAGGGGACTCGGTACCTTTTGAATGATTATTTTTTATTTAAGAACTTTCATCTACTTTTTATGAATAATATTAAGTGGTTTTATGAGACAAATTGGTTTTAAGCTGAAAAAAAAAAAATTTTTTTTGCAATTCATTTTTGTTTAACTTTAATTTTTTTAAAAAAATTCAACAATTAAAAATTTCTTTCTTCTTCCACAATTTTCAATATTTTTGCTTCAAATTATTTTATTTTACTTATAATAGTGTTCTTAATAACTTTACGGATCCATTTTGTAATTAATGAATTAGTTTCTCAGAAAAAAAAATAAAAAGCACATTTTTATATAAAAACTTAAAAAAAATTATTAATTTCAGTGAAATTTTCATTTCCAATAATTTTCTTTTCACTATTTTTCAAAACCCATCCTTGATTCTATTTAGTATATAATTTTAAATAAGCAGTAAAATTATTAAATAATTTGGTCCATATCTGAACAAGTTTTAGGACTTTAAGTAAACGGATATATTAAAAAATTGCAAACTGAGAAAACGCAGTTTAATGCAAACTGTTCTGAATGGTCATTAAATCATTTCAAATTTCTTAAAAATTTATTACTCAGTTTCAATACATATATATATAAAATAAAACTTAGTACTCCTCAACTGATTAATATGAATATAAATTACAAGCTTTTGTTTAAAACCTTATTAAAAAAAATCATAAAATGCAAGCAGAATTTTTCTTTACCTGTTTTGCTTTTTAAAACACGCTCAAAAAAATTTTAATGCATGAATTTATTATAATTATTTCTAAAACGCTTATAATCATTATTAATAATATTAATTTGTCGTTTTATTCAATTCTTTAAAAAGCAAAATTTGAGATTTTAACAGGCATAAAACATTTCATTTAAAACCGCTCAGCAGCATATGTGATTTTTCTCTTATTTTAGCCATTTATTCTCGTATATAGATTGCATTTTAAATTAATTTATGTGCATTTTAATTAATTAAAGAGTTTAATGTTTGTTCCAGCACTATTTCAATAATGCTACAGTCAGAAACTTTCATTACACCACCTCTTTCTGTTCTTGTCTAATCACACATAATTTAAATTTTTGAATAAGCATAGCAAAGTTAACTGATAATACACATAAAATTATTTGCTGAGCTCAGCATAAATATATAAACTTGACAGTTTAAAGGTTAAAAATTTTTTTCCCATCTTTAATTTGTATTTAAATAAATCGGTATATACACATAAACAGAGTTTTTTGATAGTTTGAGTCATATTTAATTACACTCCTTTTCATTTAAACTGATTTATAGTAAAGTTACTGGAAAAATTAAGAAGTAAAAAAAAAAATAAATAAATAAAAATAAACACTGAGGGGGGTGTGGCATTTAAAGGGATGTCAAAATTTTTAAAAACCTTTTTATAACATTTATTATCGTCAGATCATTTCAAAATTTCTCTTCAGTGTAGTAAGGGTATTAAGGTACTTTTCCAGCAAAAAAATTAAAAATTGGTAATTTCATTGATTTTGGAGTACCGAGTCCCCTTAAAGTAGAGGAATTTTATAGGTTTGAACTTTTTTTTAAAATTTTCTTTTATTTTTTTTTTTTTTTTTTTTTTTTTTTTTTGTTTCTTACTTCGGTGCCGATGCATTTCTTAGTCCCATCAGCATCAAAATCTTCATATATAGTGATTTCCTAATGCTCAACATATAAAAATGATATTTTGGTGGCATTTACACCTTCTTATCAGCGTCAAGTTTTGTGCTAGTTTCCAGTGTGCTTATTGGAATATTCATCGGAAAGCAGCAAGGAACAGTATTCTCAGAACTGTAAATGAATGATAAAGAAAATTATCGCAAATTTATAATACGAGAGAGAACAGAAATCTGAACTGTAATCCTGATGAAATAGATTAGCAACGACAAAATTTAACAATAACATTTAATATTTGACATTTTACTTTTATAACTACTCTCTGTTGCATTCTTTTATGTTCATACTCAAGGAAGATATCTGCTAATTAATTTGAATTATTACTCATGTCAAGTCTTCTTGCATCAGAATTTCATTTCTTTGTTCAAAAACGCTAAATCATCTGTTGATTCATAATGGTAATAATAATATCATTAATATCATTCCGAATTTAATATTTAGCATTTTATGCTATGCATATACATTCAAATAATCGTATGATTTCAGGCATTGAAAAGTAGAGCTACAGTGGCTTTACAAAATTAACAACAATTAAAATCAAATCCGAATTAAGACTTATAGATGCCATGAGTACTGAAAAGATTTTGGTCCCCCCTTCCCACATACATTTACAGTATAACAACAGTTCCCCCCCCCCATTCCATTTTTCTCGGTCTTCTTTTTTACCATACATGTTGGCAAAACAGGCACTATGAAACTTTTATGGTTCCCCTTTCCTTGATGCTCTAAGCACGTGCTATTTTGCTTAACGATTAATCCTGATTAAAATTGCAAGTAATGCAACAACATATGTAGCAGCTACATTGTATACAGCATTTGTAGTATACAGTAAATTTACGCCAAAGATATGTTGCCGTTAAATAACTTCTGCTTCTGGAATTTACCTTTAATATTTATAACTCTAAATCTTCTTTCTTTCAATTTAACATCAAAGTTAAAAATTAAAGCTAACAGAAAATTAAAAATAAATACCATAACATTCAACCAGTGGTCCACGCAGGAATTTTTCAAGGAAGAGGTCGAGGGTCGAAAGTCCACCATTCTCGTATCATACCCCAATACGCCGCTAAACATATTCTTTTGATTTTATGGATTGTCGGGAACGAAAAACACTAAAAAATAAATTATTGAATAAATAATTAGCATTACTTTATAAAATCAATTTCTAATAAAAATACTTAATTAAATTACCAGAAAGCACAAGAATTTATGTATTTGCTTTTCTTATAATTTAAAAATAAAAAACAGAAAAACAAGTGCATCATTATAGAAGCACCAAGTCATAGAAGAAGAAAAATCTCACTTTAACCTGTAATTACAAAACTAAAAACATGACGATTTCAGTGCTTTCGTTTGCAGTCACCAGTCTGCTTCTATTGCCTTACAAATAGTCACAGAATAAAATCCAGTTTTCTTTTTTTTCTTTTTTTTTTTTTCTTTTTTTTTGCGATTACATTTATAACTTCCTCAGGAGTGATGGTGACGTTGCTTCAATTCAAGCAGTGAAAGACCATTTAAACGTTCATTATGTGTGGTACTTCTTAAGAATGTTTTTAGTGTCCTCAAAGTCGAGAAAGATCTCTCACTTGTGCAATACTTTATAGAAAAGGTGCACAAAATTTCTAAAAGTCTTTTAACATGAGGATAAAATTTATCATTGGAGGACAAATAATATTCAAATACGGATGGTGAGGAATCATGTTTTAATGTGTCATCTTAAAAGAGTTTCACCTCGGAAATTAAACTCACCAGCGGCCGAGCGGTAAAGACGCTGAACACTGGAAGTTCGGTCCGAGGTTCGAATCCCGCGAACGGGCTGGCTGCATGGGTGTTTCCGTGGTTTTCCCCATGTGTAACGTGTATACGAGCCAGTTTCCCTTAGAAAGTCCTCCACGAAGGCATCCCTCTCCTTAGGCAGATAGCCCTAGTGTGCTTTGCCATAATTAAATAATCCAATCCCATCCACCTCGGAAATTAAGTTCCCCACTTATTGGTCTAACTACATCTTAACTTTGCCCCTTCAAAAACGATAAACTTTTTAGGAATGATTCCTACGATTTCAAAATCGTTGATGCTAGAACAATACCAGTACAACTATTAACTGAAATAAATTGTAGAAATTCTTCATGAAAAAATTTATGATTCATAAAGCATACAGCTAAAGATAACAGCTGAATCCCTGCAATATCAGTCGTTTTATCTGCAATGATGCTGAAACACTCAATTTTGTTCAATATCTTTTAATATAATTTCATTGATTCATGAAATTATTTCGTTTTGTGTTCCCCAACTATGTAAGCATTTCTCCCACTGTCTTCCAAATGTTTTTCTAGAACATTATCTCCAGCTTCTGCACGAAATTTAACCAGCGCTCGAAAGTTTCCTTCATTTTTACTTGTTTCCTCGGTCAAGGGACCATAATCCGAATGCCCCCTTAAAGCAATTCCTCGTTTATCGCTGAAAATTAGTTTTAATAATACGAGTAAAACATGAAATTTGTCGATTTTTAGAAACTTCTTCAGCTTTCTTTTCATCTAATATTTTGTCGATACTAACGATAGAATTTTCACTATTTTTTTTTTTTTTTTTTTTCAAATTAGAGTAAATTTCGAGAAATATTTTAATGAATCGCGGTTTTTAAAATATTCTACAGCGAGGTTCCACTTTTTGAAAGGCTCTGATACTAATTTTCCAGCGTTCTGATTTTTGTGGGCACCTACTTCTTTCGTCGAAAAATAGAACACAATATTTGCAGAAAGCACCACCCATTTTTTGACAATATGACACTGCATCAATCGAAAAATACTGCATTTGAAATTTCAAACTTTTTGATTTCATAAGTGTGATCGGAAAAGTATAAATTTGATAGGGGAACCCTATATTGCTTAAAATATCAATTATCTCAAGATTTGGTACGCGTCCTTTAATTTTAATGTAATTCGCTATATCAAAATCATTTACAGTAATATTTGAAATTGGAGTTTGACTATTATTTTCCTTATACTTTGGTTGCAACTGGGATACCTTATATTTTGTCTTATGCATCATCATCCAATACCTTTATCAGGCTGAGGCAAACCATTTTCGGTAGACCGAGAAACTTCTTTCACTTCCAGGATATTTTGTTTTTCTTTTTCACATACTTTTTTCACAAAAGAGAATAATGTGACTTGTTTTCGTTTAAGATTTTGATCACTCATTTCTACAATATAATTTAAAAATCATATTTTTGCAACTTAAAAATCAAAATGGATTTACGCTGCATTGAAAGAACATGCGCGTTACATAGTCAGGTAGACTCATGAAATACAAGTAATTAAACAATTTTTGACTTTGTTGTCACGTGGGCTTACTAGTACATGTGGTGAGATGACTCAACTTTTGACTTTGTCTGTTAATAAAATCGGAAAGAAAGATAACCATTTCCTTCAAGAATACACTATAGAGTACACAACAGGAAGCAAATTAATAGAATAGGAGGGAATTTTATCTCCGCATGCAGTTCGGTTTTGAAGAGGAAGAAAACAGAAAAGAAATTTTCTTTTTTCTTTTATTAGAACTGAAGTTACTGTTACCTTTGTTTGGAATCATTTTACGTACTATATACATAGGATTGTAATCAATCGGGGAAAAAAATAAAAAAAAAAAAAAAAAAAAAAAAAAAAAAGAAGGAAATGAAGGGCGATGGGGGTCCGGAGCTCTGGATCCCCCTTTGCATAGGCCACTCCATTCAATGCCCAGAAAAATGGAGCAATTTACAAGCTGTCATCTTAAAAAAACTGAATAAATTAATAACTTATAATTAAAAAAATTATTAAAAACTCAAATACACCATTGTTAACTGTTAAATACATAAGTCAGCTGCCTATAAAATATCATACATTTTTTCCTCCTATTATTCAAAGGACAATTTTACAGCTACAACTTCCAATAATAATAGTAATAGCAAACGTGGAGTATTGTTTTTATTTGCAGGCCGATCATGTTGGGTCATAAAATAAGAAAGAAATTAGTTAACCTTTCTCTTTTTGGAGTTTGCCTACTGTTTGGATAGGCCATCTGTCATATTTTTATTGCTCTCTGCATTGTGTTTGGATATTTTTACGAGTTTATGATGCGCATGGGCAAGTAGAAATACAGCTGGAATTGCGAAAAATTCCGTGGCTGGTGTCATTGAACGGATATCTAGTTGAGAAAATAATGAGGTAAAGAGAAAAAAATTCCTTATGTTGAAACTCGCTTTATAGTTTGCACGCGCGAAAATATTTTTCACTCAGAGCGAAAACTAGCATAAAAAAAAAATCAGGTATAAACGGATATTTGGCTATCCGTTATTTATGCTTACCAAATGCTGTTATTTTTACCTAATATTCAGTAGGTTAATATTTAACTCAGTTGTCTGAAATTGTATTTTATTTGACTGAAATTGAAAACTCAAAAAATAATTTTGTACAAATAACTTTTGATCTATTTTTTATGCTATTGTCTAGAATGTGTCTATACATCAGTAACTTATTTCCCTTTTTATTTATGTCTATATATCAGTAACTTATTTCTCTTTTTAATGTACTAATTCTCTAATACGTACTAACGTACCAATATTAATGTTAGAAAAATCTTAAGCAGAATCTGTATGTCAATAATATAAAATGGTCCAATAATATAAAATGGTTTATTTTACACTTCGTTTATTTTCCAAAATGAAAAGAATATTACCATGCATTTATCATCTATATCACCACACGGATGCGGGAAACGTAAGATAATTAAATTTATCTTTCACGCAGTCTTGCAAATAAACACTTTCTAGAGTGTTATCATTCAGGAATGCAAAGGATCGTTAATTTTTCTTTCAGATTAATTAATTTACTATTGCTTAATAACATGAGCGATTAAAAAAAGCGCCTATTAATTATTATTAGTCGAAACGGCATTATCCCAGAAAGGATATTAATTCCCTTTCGGCATTTTGCGTCGAAAACTTTAAATGTCCGTTTCCCTTTTCAAGTTGTTGCCACCAAATATTATTGCCCACGTTGGGCGCCAGATTATGAGAGGAGGTCGTTTTGGATGGGGTCATAAAAGATATCCTTTATATGATACAACCTATCAGGTTAATCACTTGGCTTTTACTGAAGAACTTCTCTGGCTACTCACCAGGGGGCACCCTCGTTGCTACAGTTAGTCCAACAATTTATATTAGCAGCAGAGTTTATATTAAAGGATTGGTTACAATATATATTTTATATACACAATGTCCAACATCCTATATTAACTCATTCAAGAATGCAGAACTTATATTACCTGTGTTGATAGTATAATTATATTAGTATATATTACTTGTTCTGGTAATTCAGTACCTTCCTCGATAATGCAAAAAAAATTTTCAAAGGCAAGAAAAATGTTTAACTCTAGCCAAAAAATAACTCGAAATACTTGAATGCAAACACAACGACAAGAAAATTTTCATTCTAATATATAGCTGCTTAGATTAAATTTATAACTATCGGGGAAGTCAAATTACCTCAAATGAGTGTCAGTTGGCAATTCTGATGCATGACGAGCTATAGGAAGATATTCAAACTAAAGGTACCGTATTATCACAAATATATTTAAAAAAATGTTTGGTTTTATTTATTACGGATTTTGTGATAATAATTATTTCTTAAGATTATATTTTATAAAATCGTATTGTTGTTTCCTACTCGTTCGTGCATTTAGACTAATTGATGATAACACTTGACGAAGGATTAAAACACAATTTATTCGCCAGTAAGCAGTGTTACACAGGACAGTTTCAAAGACACGTTTATGCTCGTCGAATACGCTGAAACAATCAGCAATATAGCCTTCAGACTTTAATGCTGAAGACAGCTTCACAGCACTAAAGTACAGCTCCCGATTCGGTCGATCGCTCTTAAGCTAATCTCTGAATTCGAGTCACTGTTTTCTTCTCATACAGGTAGGGTATATATATAGCTTTAACGTACCTTCGAGAATATTCCCGAGAAAACCGCTAAAAATTCGTTCTAGAATGGTCTCGCTCCGTCTGTGGCATATCGCTAATTTTGTCTCCAGATTCTCCAAATGGGTAATTTTGCGCCAAATCTGG